AGTAAGAAAAGTGAGAAAATTAATGATATGTACCATCCAACCAATATGAAAATAAGGAATTATTAATTCATTCTAAAAATATTTTTTATAAGATTCCATTGCATGTTGGAAATAGCAATACGTTATTTTAAAACACATAAATAAAAAAAAATGTATCTGTCCGATTTTCCAAGCACGGAATAGTCTTAACAAGAAATATATTTTTATGTCCTTTTAGCGAAAATTTATAAGCAGGTGCCTGTCATGCTTATCCAGCTGATATTTATTTAAATGTATTATTTTTTAAAGTGCACTTGTTCTTGCTGCGGAGGACTGGCGTTGGAAATGGAAAAACTGAACGAAATCAAAGAATATAAAATAGAGGGCAAGCAGCAAAGAGCTGCAGGCAGAGTGCCAGAACCAGAAACGAAAACTAAAGTTGAAACGCTTTTAGACATTTCAGAGATACACACGCAGACACAGATACACACGCACACTGGCAAACGGCGAATATTTCAAGTTTCCTAGCCTCGATTTTCCGTTTTCCTCGGCGTTTAAATATTTCATTTTGTCAAAAAAAAAAGAATGGAGCAAGGAATGCACCGAAAAAAACAGCGCAAAATGGGGAAACGAGAGCAGCTGCCAAAGCTTTTAGGTAAATTAAATAATTTTCCTCCTCTCGTGTCACTTTAGTCGGAATGAAAAATAGCTGGGGCAGCACGAATAGTTTAGTTTATTTTAGCCAGAGCTCAAAAACGACAGCAGGAGCAATCCATCAGAAACTACAGAAGCATTCCTGCTTAATTTATGGCTTAATAAACCCAGTATCTCGCCGCGGGACATCCATGATAATCAGATATTCCCGACGCAGAAGCTCAGGCAGTGCGATTGAAATATGGCCGCGGCGGAAACGCCAAATGGGATTGGGTATGGAACGCAGGTAAGGGTCTTGAATGGAAATGCATTCCCCAATCCCAATTACCAATTACCATTCCTGGCATCGCATGTGTGCACCGGATAATGTCAATCAGCGAACATTCTTCATTTTTGTTTACTCACTCACCTTGGGGCGTTCTCCATGCTGCGGCCTCTTGTTTGTTTTCAAATTTCCTGCCTGCTGGCCATTTTATCTGTTCAAGGAGCGGTTTCCCGAGCGAAGACTCCAGCGAGTTAAAAGCCGAGACCGCGCACTTCGAGTGGAGATTGCCTTTCAAATAAACACTACCTCAGAGTGATGGAACTGGGCCGCTGGTTTTGGCCAGGCCAGATGGTAAATCGATTGGCCAGGCCGCATTTGATTCGACCCGATCAATCAGGGGCCATCAATCATAATTGCCAGGCAATTTGTTTTGGCCATGGAAATCGACCAGGCACAAATGCATTGGCCGTGGCGTGCTCTTAATTGAGATAAGGAATTCACTCTGGTCTGAGTTGCAGCAGCAACTTGTAATTAATTGGTTGCGAATGAAACTGAACTGATTCAGTCAATAAGTTTTTATTAATTATTAAAAATAATAATAATGTTGATATTAAAAGTTAGGTAAATTAAGCTTTTATTATATTTAAACAGATGCCATAAATTGTTTTTATTAAGCTAGCTCCCTAAGAATTAAAATTAGCATATTTGAATTTCATATTAATTTATTTGGGTTAACTAAAATTTGATTTTATTTCTTTTGTTGAAGCTGATTAGAATGATAAAGTCGACCGTGCTATCTTCATCATTTGTTAAATTAATTTAAATTATGTATGTTTTCTTTATGAGAAACAAATCTTTATCATTATATCCATTGGTGTTACTAAGCTCCTATTTATAGTTTTCTCATAAATATTACAATTTTAAATTAATTTAAATATTTTTAGATCTTTTGTTAATTTTGGTGAAAGAGTTTTTTTAAATGGCACCATTGCGTTATTCATTTGATCTCTAGTTTGCATTCCTGAAATAAATTTGGTACACACAATATATTTACATTTTTTTTGTTGCTTGGCAAACAAACTATTTTCTTAAAACCCTTATTAACGAGATGTTTATGAACTAAGAACTCGACATGTTTATAATTTGGTATCTCTTCTCTCCCTTTTCTGGCCATAAATCCTCGTCGATGTCTCCATTTTCGTGTACATCCATTGGACGGCCATTACAACCACAATTGACACAGTGATTTACGGCAATGAAAATTATACACCTGCACAACCTGCGCGCACACACATGCGAATCGGAATCGGAGGACTCACCTGGGCGGGGGAAAAGTGGTGAAGTGGAGAAGTGGAGACCGCAGGCGACGCTTTGTCATAAAAAATAAAACGAAATTGTCGTCACTTTTATGACTCCCTACCGTGGGCCCAACTCTGATTCAGATTCTGATTCTGGCCCTGTTCCTGCTTTGTGGCAGTGGGAAGTCGTATTTTAGGCAGCTCCTTAAAAAGTCACTTGAGCGGAAAACGCAATACAAGCCCACTGGTGGGCACTGAATTACAGAAGCCGGCGAACGGTAAAGCTTCTTGGGTTTTGTGGACTTTTTTAATGAGCTGTCAGAATTATCATAAAGCAATTAAACGCATTTCACACTCATAACCGTAGGCAAGTATTCAATCCGCACGCACTGCCACGCCCCCAGCCGATACGCCGCCCCTCCGGCGAGCCGTGTCTTTGCCACTGACACTAATTGGTTGCTTTATGGCCCAGTTAAATCGTAAAACTCAAATTTTATGCTTTGTCACTGAAACGATTATGACGTCCGTTGCTCGTCCTCGTCCTCGTCTTCATCCTCGTCCTCGTCCTCGTCCTCCCAAGATTCAGCCATCAATCCGGGAATCCCGTCAAGTGGCTTCATCTCCGGCGTCCGTCCCGTAATGCCCCTGATTTATGTCCCTGCCCGAGTTATTTGCGCCAATTTACAGATTGATTTCGGTCTTAAGTTTTTACTGTCCCCTGTTTATTCATCGCCTTTGCACCTACTTAATTTTCCTCTCCTTCTGGTTATGGTTTATTGCTGTTGCCAAACAGGAGACTCGCGGCTTATTTGGATACCGAATCGCCATATGTTTGCGGAGGGTTAATGCCAAACCAGTTTGTTTAGTCACTGGCTGTGCAGGGGTAATAACACTGATTTTGAACCCATTAAAATTAAAGAGTTCGTTTAATTTAAGATAAACAAAACGTGTATTGTACTTTGTTAATTAACATGTCTTTAAGATAATTTAATTATTTTTGAATAAAACTTTATTATGACGAATTGCTTATATATGTACGTATAAAAAATGATTTATTAGGAACGTTTTTGTTACCAATTTATAAGGGGTAATAAATCCGTTTATAAGCACATAAACATAAAAGAGCTTATCAAACATGAATCCTTGGTAATTTTTTATATCAACTATGAATTTTCTACCCTATAAGTTTTCCTTTATAGCCCAATAAATGATTTTCTGAAATTTTATAAGAGACCTAGATAATATATGATTTCCTAATGATTTGGTTTACACCATATAATTTCTCCAATGCGTGAAGGTCATGCATAAATTTGACCTCTCCACTCGATGTTCGCTCTATTCAAATGTGCGAAGTAAACAAAAGAAATAAAAAGACGAAAAATAAATGTTTGTGTTCGGCTTCAATGTGTAGGCGCATTGTTTCAATAACAAACAATGCGATATATTTAAACGATTCCACATGCGAGCCTGTATATATTTCGATCGGACTGATTTGTTTATGTGGGTGAAGGCGCGAAACTGTGACGAATGGAACGGCAATCGGGGATGGAATTGGAAATGATAATTAACCGCACCTTATCACGAATTGCTGCCCTCGATTGGAAGCTCCCTGCATTCGGATTCGCATTCGGATTGCCCTTGTCCCTGGACCATTGTCATGATAATTTCACTTGTAATTCAGGCTTCGATAGGTTTTCTGATTAATTTGATCTTAAATTTATTCCAATTGCAGCGAAGTCACGAACCCTCTAGGATGCACTATCCAATTGGGAGGGAAGCCCATTGGCAAGGACTTTGTTCAACATTGTTGTTGTGCTGAGCGATTGTCCCAATCATTCTTATCAGCAAAAAGCAGAGCTCTGCCATTGTTTGATATTCGCCACCCACAATGCATCCAACTTTGTTGCCAAGCGAGCGAAAAACTTATTATATTCCGCCCGCACAAACCCCCCTCAAAAAATGAATGCAAGCCCAAAAAAAGGAGGGAAAAAATAACAAGACGAGTGGGAAAAGCTGGCAAAGCAGCGAAAATCGTAAAAAAAGGAAATTGCATTTCCCCAAAGCAGCGGAAAGAAAACTTGCGCAGGACTTTTGAGATTCTATTAAATTCTAACAAGATTTCAAGCTGCGAGGCGGAGGAAGAGGAAGAGCGCGCCAACTGCAGCGTCCAATAAGCAAATGGCAGCTGTCACGGTGAAGAAAAGAGAGAGAGCGGAGAAAGGGGAAGAGAAAAGGCAAACAAAAACATTGGAGCAAAAGAAAAACAAAAAGAGTGAAGCAGAGAGCATTGAAGAGCGCCACGTGAACAGGTGCAGTGGTATGAAAGAGAAGTAGAAAGAGCACTTCTTAAGAGTTCCAGCTCACTAACACATAGACAGTTTAAGAGAGCCGAGATAAGAGAGCCTGCACGCACACCAAGACAAAGTCTGATTGGAAGAGAGCGCTGGCTTGCGTGTATTGGTAAGCAAGAGAGTGCGGCAGAGGTTTGATGTTTTGGAATTCAGTTGGGGTTTTACAAAATTACAAGATATATATAGGTTTTTAAGGTTTTTTTTATATATGTTAATTTAATATATTTATGAAAAATTTTCGGATTTTTTATATATTTTTTTTTAAGTTTAAAAAAATGAATATTCTAACTGGTTTTAAAAAGTAACTCCAATTAGCCCAAATATTTCATAAAGCTAGCGGTGATATTCACCTTTGGGTTGGTGTATTGTCTAAGCCTAGTGTGTCTGCGCATCCTTGTTTGGTTGAAAGTATTTCCCTCTCGCTCTTAGCATCCCCTAACTACCGTTACTTACCCTGGGCAACTTCCTCCGCTTGTCGTCCTTTGTTTCTACGTGTTTTTTGGGTGACGACGCAGTCGCAGAAACTCCCTCGAAATTCCCCAGCCCCCTCCGACGGTCCTGTTGGGGCCTCTGGTTTTTCGGGGGCTCCGAATTTCAGTCGCTCACTTCGCAAGAACTTCACAACAGCCGCCGTCGCAGGTGAGTGGCTATATGGAATACCGCTGCGGAATATCGAACTGTTGGCACGAGCGAGAGAGGGAGACGCGGAGAGCGTTGCTCTCTTTCACATCCATGATGGCCGCCGCAGTCGCTGTCGCTTGGCAACCATTGACATGCGGAGGCAGCGCTGCCGGCGTCGCAGTCTACGCTGCCCAATCTCACACATTCCAACGGCATTCCGCATTCGACTCTCCTCTCTTTCCGCGCCTCTTCTTCTTCTTTTGGCTTGGCCATCATGGCGCTCCATTAAATCCGCTTCTTCTTCGCCGGGAACGCGTATGGCCGACATATTTGATTCAGCCGACGGCATTTTGTTTGGGGATTTTGGGAGCTGAAAAGTATTGATAACATTGAATTTTTGTTATTAAAATAAATAATAACAAACTCGCAGAGTTAAACTTTACAATCTTAGGTTGCTTCTGGCTTAATAATTTTGTTGTTCCAAGCTTATACATAAATTACAAATCTTATTATAATAGCAACCAGCTTTTATCTATAGAACTATTGGGTCATATAATTAATCTTAAGCCACTTTAGTACATGCATCCCACGTAAACAGTGGTTTATTGCCTTTTATTGCTTTTTAAATATGGACTACAATTATATTTTCAGAACATAATTTTCCATCTGGAGTCATTAAAATTTCGTTGATAACAACATCGAGAAATGAATAAACAAATTTGTTGCATTATTCATGGATTTCTGCGTTGCCAAATGTTATATTAATCAAAAACGTGCATATAAATTCTTTTCTTTCAGTTCAAGAAATTTATACAAAAAATAAGTTCAAAATAAAAATAAGTCTTCTGCTCCAATAAAAAAATTGGGCATTTCAGTTAGGTAAAGGTTAGGTATAGTTTTAATTTATTTTTTTTTTATTAGAGTTTGCAAAAGATTCTTAGTTTGGGACAACAAACCGTGCCGCCGTCAAAGAATTTTACAATTAAAGCTTTAAACTTGTATCGAATCCAATTTGAAATGAATCAGCATTTAGTTTTAATGGAGGGACCGAAATACATTAGCGAAACTATTTCATCGGGCTGGCAATAAACCGAGAGACGAGGATCCTTGCCAGAATTAAAACTCTCCAATTTGATTTCCATCGCGGACAAACAAAGGAAGCGACGCCTCGTTGACATTTGCCAATAAAAATAAATAAAATACCATTTGTTCAGGAATCCGACATCGCTCCTCCGTCGCCCCTTGGCCAAGTTTTCTAGACATTTGGCCACGCTCACCGTCGGCGACTAAAAATAAATGCCGTCTTTTAGTCGAGGCGTTCAGGGAACACTTTCGGGGGCGTGGGCTGTTCCCAGGGGGAGGGAGTGGGTGTGGGCGTGGGTGGGTGGGGTGTGTGTGTGCGTTGCGCATTTTAATACAATTTAATGCCCCATCGTGCGCCACCTCGACCTCCACCACGAGCATATCCCCTAGCTCACCGCGCACAGCTCCCGTCAACAATCGAACGCGATAGCATCAATGTTGGACCTGGTGCTGGAATTGGGATCCAGATTGCCGGGATTCCTGGGCCGGGCGAAAACCGAATTTCCGGGACACTAGCAAAGCCTTATTTTTATTGGAAATCGTTTATCCCAGCAACAAAGTCCCAGCCCAGCGACGTGTCTTTGGGAAAATATCAAAAGCAAAGGAAGGCACAGTGGGTTGATAGGCTCAGTTGCAATATATATATATTATTTTCAAAGAATTATTTCATCAATCACCAATGTTATTTTTTAATTTAAAGAAACAAACACGTTTTATTAACCTTTGAGAAAGAAATGGAGAACTAATTATCAAGTTGTCAGACCAAGAATTATGAACAGATATATACATTGATTATAGTTGTGCATTTGCATGGAAATTTATATAGCTATAGAATTGAACCCCGTATGAAATAAATGTAATCTTCAATTAAATACTATTAAAAAATCCATAAATATTAATTTAGACATTTACTGCTTTTTTATACAAATAAGATCTAAGCCCGGTTATGGAGCTTGTGTTTAGATTTGCATACCATATTATATACAAGGTGCATCATCCCCCGATCTGCTGTTTATAATGTCTTAATGACTTAAGAGAAATACTCAGAGTTGGGTCCATAAATCGAAGCGCTATTGTTTTATTAATAGAAATTGCAGAATTATTTAAATTTAAATATAATGAAATTACTTAATGGAATTAGCTGCAGAAACATCTTCTCTGCTTAAATCAGGTTTCTTAAGAACCTCTTCGAAATGTTTTTAAGCTAATTAAGTTGGCCCCACAGCCAACCCACTGTGGAGTCTGATTCACACTCCCCAACTCGCCTTTGTTTTCAGCCTTGCCATTTAAGTCACAAACGGCGGAATTAGTTTTCCGTTTCGTTGGCATTTCAGTAGCCGGGCATTATTCCGAGCCCATCCTCCCTCGAATTGATATGCGGCCCCATCTATCGAAGCCCCCTTCCCCTGTTCCCCCTCCCCATTCCACATCCCCAACTGCTCATCATTATGCGCTTCAGAGCTTTTCGGGATTTTCTACTTCATTGCTATTATCGGGCCCAGTGAATGGAAGTGTGGATGGGGTTATGCCGGGTCTCATCTGGAATCGCACTAATTTAGCTCGGGACTAGCCCCGCCCCTTAAACACGGCCCACCACCCACCGCCCACCGAGGAGTGTGTAGTTGTCGTTGCCCCGATTTTATGATGATGAGTTCAGAGTTCGGGCATGTTCTGCATTAATCGCATCACTTTATGTGGGGCGAGAGCTCTCTCGGGGCACTTGGCAACCTGGTTTCCAGCTGGGCAAAGAGTTCGATCTTCGGCGGATTCCCAGGGATTCCATAATGTCCTCACATAACAGCGATAGGCCGTAAAAAAGAGGTCAAGCCAACGACCCTGGAACAGATTTCAGATGAAAACGAGAGCAGTTCGATCAAATTTATTGCTGCCGGCTGACCTTCGGATTCGGGATTTGGGATTCAGGATTCAAATTTCATATTTCACGGCCTTAACTGGAGCGACAGGATTTCCTCGGTGCGTTCTGGGCCAATAAAAGCATTAATGACCATAACAAACGCCTTTGTGCCGCAGTTGCAGCGGTTGCCCCTCGAGGTCGTTTATCCCGCTGCGTATTTGGTGCGCGCAACTCGTTCGGAAAAGAATAACAGCCCGAAACTATCCGCACTCCCGTGCTCCTACACATTATCGATATTCGTTCTTAAGGCCTTTTAAGGCCATTTTTTATCTGTTGTGCACAGAGAAAAATATCTCTAGTTCTAATTAATTCGTTCTTGTTCGTTGTATGGCAACATTAATATTTGTGCCATCTAAAAATTCAAGTTGTTCAATAAAATAAAAGTAAGACTTACATTAAAAAGCAGTTTTTTTGTTAATACATATTACTATATATGATTTAGTTTTTCTATCTGGCAATTATGAGCATGAAATTGTATTGTCAATAAAACTAGTTTGACTTATTAAGACTTCAGGTTATGGAAATTCCACAAATCATTGCAACTGACATTGTAGTATTATATACATTTATGGAAAGTAGACTAACTCTGTTTTCGAGCGATTAAAAAAAAATTACAATTTGTTTTCAGAAGAGAAAAGTTTTTACTTTCAGCAAACAAAAAGGTTTTCCTTTTGCAAACTTAGTATCTTGTATGTTGTTATTTAACTACAAACCAAACTAGAGTTTACCATTTATATTTTCTTGTGTATTTTAGATATTATTTCTGCGTGTTGCCGCTCAGTTTTTTGTATCCTATCGTATCTGTTTCTCGATTCTGTCGCCGGGCCTCATAACGGACCTTGAGTTATGCGAGGCTGGGACCCGAGATAAACCCGTTCTCCCTCCCTCGCTCCCGACTTAAACTCATTTAATCCATGAAATGGGAATGCTTTAAGTCGCTGCTCGCTGGTTAGAAATTCTATTTTATGCTTGGGTTCCCATCGCCATCGCCTTCGCCTTCTACGTCGCCATCGTCTGCCAGCGATTCAGCCAGCCAAATGGCGATGGCATCTTGCCATGCAATTCGAGCCGGGGGCGTGGATGAGGCTATGGTGTGGATGTGGATGTGGACGTGGATCGCGCCGGGTTTCTAAGTTTTTTCGCCGACAATTTTATGCATGCGCCACACTGCACAAAGTTAAATTACAATATTCTAATGCATCGTACTAAATATTTATGAAACTAAGTTTAGAATTGCTAAAAAATAACTGCTTAGAAATATTTTTTTATATGACCAAAAAATTAGGCTGTCTTTTAACAAATATTTATATCAATGACGAAAAATTTAAATATATTTCTTTCAGAAATTGAATTTAAAACCCTGCTAGTTCCATTTATTCACTTAAAAATCAAAGAAATATATTTTAAACCCTTTTTTCTGGCGACACGTTTTGTAATCCTTAGTTTTTCCGATCCCTGAATCTAAAAGTCCACAAAATTAATATTCATATAATAAATTTCCATCATCAAAATGTTTCCCCAGTTATTTTTGAGTGATTTCTTTTACAAGTTGTTTAATTCTTACGTATCTATTGAATGCTGAAGATTTTCTTTCAGTGTATTTGTAATTTAAGCCAGAGAGCCAAATGTGAAAAACTGGAAAAGGGCAAAAAATGTAAAAGGAGAAAACGAGAAAAGAAAGGAGCAAAAATAAAAGCTGCTGCTCGACGACGTCGACATAAAACTTGCAAAATAAGTTTCGCATGTTTCAGCAAACTCAGGTAAGGAAAAAAGGTAGGAAAAGGGACGGGCGTGGATTTGGCAAAGTGCGGATGAGGGGGTGGTAAAGGGCTCTCGGTGCCTTGAATATGCAGCAAATATTCTTCAAACGGCCCTGACGTCGGCTCCATTTTATATGCGCAGTGCGAAGGGGTGGTGGTGGGATCCACCCACCCTAACAGCCCACCCTTACCCCCAACCCGAACCCCAAACCCCCGACCATCCAGGTAAATGAAAAGATGGTCGCCGTAAGCCGAAGGGGGCGAAACACGAAATGTACTCCAATTTAATCAAGAATTCTATTCTGTAAATTACTTGCACAAAAACACGAGGCGACGGAAGGTCGAGCGAGGCCAAAAGGGTGGGAAGCCGACCCACCACCCCCTTTTGACAGCGCGAATTTCCATTTCATGTTACAAAAACGTAAGAAGGTACGGAATTACCTGTAGTTGGAGCCGTAAAGCTTCCTCGCGAATGAGCAATGGAGATGTTTTTGCACAAAAAAATTAAGTGCATTACTCGAATGGCATTTAGTCATCCTGAGCTTAGCTTTTTCCATTTTGGCCTCCCTATACACATTCTTAAGAATAATTTGTGGAAATGATATTTCTAAG